AAACGGTCCAATCAAAATTATTGGGACTCATAACAAAAGCACCTTGGTACGTGACTAACAAAACTCTATAATGCTGACCTCCACTTTCCAATAGTTGACCAACATATAACGACCCTTTATCAACGATTTTACACAACTTTAAATGCACATTATAACAGACTAATAAGAGACATGGCCGCATCTGACATACCTCAGAACATGAGCAGGAGACTAAAAAGGCGTTGGATGAGGGATCTGCTTCCTTAGAGAACCTAAGTAATTGGAACAAGTTAGGGAAAAGGTACTGCTGAGTACTTTCCTTCCCCATGCCTGTCATGTCATTATATCATTATCGCCATCACATTTACTGATTGTAAAGAATAAGTTGACAGGCGCAAATACATCTTTTATAGACAAAAAAAGAATTCTTCTAATGATACTACAAACTTATTGTAAAACATAAGCTGTGATATTCTTTCACAGGAACAATTTCACTGAATGAGCCGTTTATATAGTACAATTAATATATGAACCATAAATATATAATATGAGAAGGAGTTGGTCGGGGGATCTATGAAGACCTGCAAGGTGGGTCGAAACAATTAAAAATACTTTTTTTTTTTAATTTAGTATTTATTTGACCGCACCACCGCCCCTCCTCGACCAACTCGTTTTCATGTAAATATACATAGTAAGTTACACGTATATGGTTCCTGTGTTAAGTATCACTTCGAACAATTTTTTTTTTTTTTTTTTTTTTTATCACTGCATACAGATTCTTAAATCTACATTTCTTCAGATGTGCTAATTAATTCCTTCCAAATTTGACGGCATAGTTTCAATTTAGGAGAATTTACTTAGAATTGTGAAGTTTCGCTGAGGGAGAAACTCAGGAGCAGTTTCCCTCTGAGGCCCCCTTTTAGCATTACAAATTTCCTCGACTCCCCCCTAACACTTAAGAAGCAGAATGCTCAAGAGGGAGAAATAATATGTATAATAATTACATCGAGAAAAATTAATGTCCCATTACGCTGATAGCGTTAGGGCGTTAGTAGGCTATAAAGGAAGATGGGGCATTAGTCTAGGCAGGGGCCGTTTCCTGGGAGGCTACATCGAGATAGAGGTGAGCGGGGAATTAGGCGGAATGGAAGGGATGCGAAAATGCTTTATCAGGTTTGGGTTATCAGTTAGGGGGTGGTAGTGCTGAAGGAAAGATCACGCGAACTGTCGGTTCGATACTTTGGGTTAGGCCTAGGCTTTCGATGTGAATAGCCTTGACCAAAATTGTAGGAGCCTCTCAGGTTTATAATGCTTACTATCAAAACAGTCAAAGATGAGTCACTGAAAGAATACAACTGATGATGACTGTTCTAAGTATTAATATAAATAACACCCCCATACAAGACTGAAACGACTAGAAACCGCTCGACGATTTCGACTACTGCAACACTTACTAGACAAACGCTCTAAATTTCCAACTATTTACAAAATACTCACATGTATTACTATAATAAGGCCTATTCGGACCTTTGGGGCTTTACTAAACCATCAAATTCCTCTCGTATCCAATCCTACAATCCAAAATCCTTCGTAAAATCCGCAATGCTCCCTACTTTATCACAAATAAAATCAACCCTAACGACCTTAATGTACCATATGTTTCCGATTTAGCTCAATCCAGCAACCTATCCTTCCATAATAAACTTCTGAACCCCCTTGTTTCCAACCTTGCTCCCTCTTCTAGTCCTGATAACCCTCCGAGGCGTCTGAAAAGAAGATGGCCTCGGGACCTTCTAATATAGAAATATAATTGGAGTGCTATCAAGTTACTTATTTCATATTTACTAGTTGTATTTATCATTTAATACAGTTGTAAATTTCAATAATAAAAAAAATATAAATAACAAGAGTTGAAAGGTATGGAAATTGTCTTTGGGTTCACAAACAGATTCAAACAGCTTTTTACGGAGTGAGCAATATTTCACTGAACAGAAAACTTACGATCTGATCTCTAGCGTGTAAAATATTGATAATTTATCATATTTTTATTAAGAAAATATTTTCAGCCAAAACATTTATTTTGCTTCGAATAATATTGGTGAATCGTGAATCTAGTAAGTGGAAAATGGACCATGAAAAAAAGCCAGTTCATCATAATAAGAGAGCGGTTCTGATGTGATTTCTTTAGTATAATATATTAAAATGAATTGAAATATTTTTTTTCGATTACCCATTACCACATTTTTGGCATACGGATGAGGGGTGTTGCTCAGTAAGTATAACCAAACAAATTTAATCTATCCAAAGTGGGAAAGTCGAGATTTATTGGGTCCACGAAATAAATTTTAACTCGCTCAGGCCGGATTCAAACCGGTGCGGCTAAACTCGAGAATGATAAAGTTAACGATTTCTCACACTCAGCCATCGCGACCTATTATAACATAAGGCATAATAATTTGAGATATCATAATATTAAAGTATTACACCTTGCTCTTGTATTATTTTTCATTCTATTTGTCTTTTTTATTTACCTCATTTCTATTACTGCTCCCTATTCTGTTTCCTTTTTAGACGTTTGATTTCATTTTTATTAATTGCTAATTTCTAGTTTTTTTTTATCATTTACGCCTATAACGGAATGTGAGTGTCAATCAACAAATGTGTCGATAATCTTGGTTCTGGAATTTCATGAAGAATTCAAACAGGCTATTGAGAATTGGGCCAGACCGGTTTGGATTAAACAGTGCGCACTTAAGACAACCTTGATAAAAACGACATAAAAGGAATAATAAGAAATAAAGAAAAAATAAAACGGCGATAAAGTATAAAGTAGCAGGCTATGATTGCGGAGCGGGAGATCCTCAGATATTCAAATGCGAAGAACTGGGGTTGGGTTGCCTTTAGCTAACTTGTGCAGATGCCATATCTCACTCGAGAACACTGTTCGGCTTCGTGATTATTGCTTTACGAGCCTACTTCAACCATATCAAGAATCCGTTAGATTTTATTATTGTATTAATGTAATTTATAACGTCCATAAAGATAGCGAGTTATTTTTATGATAACCATGTGTATAATATATCTATTTATACAGAAAAAAGTTATAATTTTTTACTTTCACTTTCCTATATATGAAATATATCGTAAAGGAAAGTATTGCGAAAATTTCCACATCTTAGTTTTCAACAGAAATACACGTTTTGAGATCCCCTGAGGCCAAATAACCAAGTCACGCAAAATGGTCTGTATGTGTGTGTGTGTATGTGTGTGTGTTAACAGTCAAGCTCGAAAACGAAAAGTCGTACGAAAGTAAAATGGCATATCTAATGTTCTTATATGCTAGGAATGTTACAGCAATTTAATTTAATTTAATTATATTTACAATTACTTTCAACTTGTATAAGTTTTTGGTTTTTGGTATTTGATGGAATTTTGATGTTATTTTTATTAAATTTGTATAAAGTTGTTTTTGGATCAATGACTATTGTCTACAAACATGTAAGATGGACTTGACCTAGAAAAAAGTTATCGGTTTTTAAAAAAATGAAAAAAAAAATTTTTAATAAGCATAAATGTTGATGATATATGCCCAAACGTACAACTATATGTAAATTAAAATTAATAAAATAAAATTATGGGACGGAAAATCGAACATTCTACGTATTAATATATATTATTGTGATATTAATATTTTTATTTATGTTTATCCGTTTTATTTTGTGCTTTCTAGTTAATATCTACATATTTAAACATTAATTTGTATTTACAATCCATTTTTTTTTTAAACTTTAATCAGTAAATTTTATTTTTTAAAAAACGAAATATTTGAGTATGTGATATTGCCAGGATAGCGAAAACACATTAAATTATTAATTTGTTTTTGGTTTCATTCGATTTAGAATGAGAAAGTATATTAAGCATGTTCTATTTTGGAAATTTGAAGACGCCATTTTTGGTTGACGAAGTTTTTTCTCTCGGTCAGACGGTCAGTAAGGTTTTTTTTTTTTTCAAATTTAATTTTTATTCACAATATTTCTCCAATTCTTCTTCGGTGCATACTATTTATTTTCAAGTTTATTTATTTTCAGCCATTTTATACCAATTTTCAAAATTTTTTGTCAACTTAATGACTACACATCTGATTTCGGCTCGTTGAGCCATTTTCAAGTCTAAAAATTTTTTACAGTCATATTTAAAACATTACGTACTTCAACATATAGAGATTCATTTTATATACCTAAAATACCAATCATGTACTTGTCCTTTTCAACTTATGCGAATCACATGGGTCTACTCATGTAAAAAAAAAATTATTTTTGTCATGTCCACCTTTAATTATTTTATAACATTATTATTACTCAAGTATTTATTATTAAATGATTCAAATAAGTTAAAATTATCTTATGTTGTTTCACCGACATCTCATCAGCCTCATTTCAGTTTCGTGACTGGTTATTCTTAAAGGAGTAGGGGAAGACTATTTATTTTAATCAGATGTGTAGTCATTAAGTTGACAAAAAAATTTGAAAATTGGTGTAAAATGACTGAAAATAAATAAACTTGAAAATTTAATTTTTATGTTTCTTGATTTTGTCATAAAAAAAGATTGGTTCTAGAATTAATGAATATTTTGATCTATTAGATCTACTTTTTTAATTAAAAAAAATAAGTATATATATATGTATATATATATATATATATATATATATATATATATATATATATATATATTATATATATATATATATATATATATATATATATATATATATATATATATATATATATATATATATATATACACACACATAAAATTATAATAAATATTAATTTTATTCAATTTAAAAACTGTTAATGTATTCATTATTAGAATGCATTTATGTGATGGCCATTTTTTTTTTTTTCATGATTTCAATTACTTATCGCAATTTGTATCTCGTTGATAAATGACCGTTTATTTAGTGACCGATGATAAATATTTCCAAATAAATAATACATGCGATTGGCAGTCCCTTATCAAAATGACTAGATCTCCGCGAAGAAGTTATCGTTACGGTTATGATAGCAGTACCGAAGGGTACCGGTTCCCATTGGGTCCCTCCCGTAACCGTAACCGGTGTAGTTTTACGGGAGGGATCGACATGAACCGGTATCTGAATGGTTATTTAGTCCCTATCTGGCGCTCTGACGTCCCGGCTTGTAGCAGATAGGACTATCGCTTCTTTATCTTGTCATACTCTCCCAAAGTAAACCTGCAGTCCTGGCGATGGTGTTGCTATGGACTCGGAATTTCGTCTCTGCATTTTTAACATTCCATGCATTACATTGATTTTTCTGTATATGTACATGGACATGTTTGTATTTAAGATAACAATAATTTATGGTATTTAAAACTTTTAATTTTTATTTCAAATTCAAAATATGAACATATACAAAGAACCATTTATCTTTTCATTCATGTTAATTACATTCATATCAATTAAATAATATTTTCAAATAACTATTAGAGATAGCAATGAAATTTTTAAATTTTATTTTTAATCAGTTTCCGTATATTTGTAATATTTTTTTTTCAGTTATTTAAAAATAAAAAATAAAACTTTTTCCCTTACAACTTTTTAGGGATACTTTATACGTAAAGGCTTTAATGACCTTTATTTTTAAAAAACTTTGATTTCGACAAATTGTAGACCTAAAAAATAACTTTTATTCTTAGTTACTGAAAAAAAAAAAAAATTAGAATGATGAAATTCATTTAAGATAAATTATAACTATGAACTAAGCTGAATCACTTTTCATTTCTTATTTAACGTATTTTTTTTTTTAAGAACTTAATTAAACAGAAGTTAAACTTTTAACATAAATCTAGGTCTTCAGCACAAATCTATTTATTTTAAAAACTTTTTCTATAAAACGTTTGAAAGAAACACTTAAAATGATATTTAAAAAAAAAAAAAAATGCGAAAACGTTTCAACTCCTGATCTCCACATATTTTGGTTTTAATATACTAAATCTAAAATATTGATTATAATATATATACATAGTTAGAATTTTTATAAGTTAGTTTTTGGCCAGATTGGTATTTTATTTTTTTATTTTATTTTTTTTATTTGTATTAATTTATCTTTGTTATTCTAAGGGGACTTAGTCCCAGAATAAAGTTCTATTTTCTATTCTATTCTATTCTATTCTATATGCAATTAAAATGTTATGTTATACGTTATTGTTATATATCGGAAAATTTTAAGTTAACTGTATATTAAATTGAATCATATCTTTCACGAATTTATAGCATCCAAACATAAGATAAATTATAAATATTATAATATAATTAAGGTAATATCTTTTGTTCTATAAAAAGGAAAGTATTTTTAACAGAACAAAAATAGTTGATGATTGAGTTATATCTTGCATCTTTGTAAAATGAATTACAGTTTCCTCTCAACAGATTTGCAAATGACTGCTTGAATGCATTAAAAAGAAAATCATTCAAGTTTTTTTTTTTTTTTTTTAATAAAGGTCGAGAAAAACATTAACAACATACTTCTGCAAGATAATGTTTTTTTTTTTTTTTTGCATTTTTCTGCTTAAGAAAATAAATTTACTCGATTAATTCATGGTATTTTACATACCATGTTTTGCATTCATTAAATAAAGTAATCTTTAATGGAATGTTTACCGTTGTATTTCATTTATATTCAGCTACTATTAAATGTTGTTCCATTTTTCAATGCTATGCGTATAGTGTATTACAAATCTTAAGAAGTGATATAAGCTTTATTAACTTGTTCTAATCAGATGCATAACGAGTAACTGATAAAATTATATCTTTTGAATATTTAAAACCCATTGATAAATATTCCTGTAACCCATTTTGAAGTACCTAATAATTTTATTACAATAAAAAACAAAACAAAAGCCTATAAAATAAGCACTTCCAATAATTTGCGTAATGAATTGAACAGTAATCTGTTAATTTTTTTTTTTTTTTCTTGGCAGTTGTTAAATTCTATTTACATTAAAAAGTAAATAAAACTGTTTTTAAAACGGTTAACACTTGATAATTATTAAACTTTTTTTTTAAAAATCATTGCGGACTTAATACGGCATGTGATTTCCGTGAGCTAGTTGTGCCTTCAAACGTATTTGGGCAGTCTTCATTAATCTATAGCTAGAATTAATTAATATTCAGTTATTTAGGTTATTCAAATTTGAAAATTTGTTTAGTTACTTTAAATATATTTAAATGGGTGTGTGTTTACTTGTAAACAAAAATAGCAATAGTCGAATATAAAAAAAAAATATTCCGGCCTCAATTATCACTTCCAAATCATACTGCGGCCTATAATGATAAAAAAAGTTCTACACCTATGGTATAGTACATTTCCAATAACATAATACATTATGATTTCCAAATAACGTTTGTTTAACTATTGAGAAAGATTAAGTGATTTCTTTATTTATTTTATAATTTTAAAGACAACGTTTTGGCCTGAACTAGAATCGTTATCAAATCTTGTTCTGTATTTCATTGACAATCCCCATGCCAGTTCATTCTTCATTTGTTTTAATTAAGAATAAATACGTGATATTATCTAAAACAAAACTATATGTTGGGTCTACCATGGGCTTTATAGGTTTACATGTTGACAAATTAAAAAGTATCAATAACCAAGCTTTAGCTTCTGTCTTTAACACTACGATCCACTCGAATAATATGTTTATTACTCTCTATTGCCTGAAAATTAGTAATGTTTGCTTAAATGTATGTGAGACCTCCTAAGTACTAATTATATTATTGATTTTTGTCAGAAAAGAGCTTCCAAAAGATGGATTCCAAAGTGGGAGTGATATTTTATTCCGCTAAATAAATAAATTAAAAATTAGCGGTAGGAATTATTAACTTCTAATTGTCAATAAAAATTATTTCTGTCCGAAGGAGAAAGGTCAGGTCGTAACCTGAACTTATGAAAAATTAAGCGGAAGAGAATTTTAATTATTCAATTGATTTTGAACCTACGTTTCTTTATTAACCATTATGTTCACTCCCTTAAAATAAACTATTGATTTTGAAGGTGAACCATTCGCATCTTGTTAGCTTTTTATATTTGTTGATCTGATCTTTCATACTATCGATTATATATATCGAGTGCTGATAATATTTGCGAACCTCCTTCTGATGTGTGATGGGGGAGGGGGAGGCATTAATTAATGAGGGTTCAATTTGATGGCAGTTGACAAGGGCTCGATAGTGCTTTGTCGTGTTTCTAGAACCTTCCCAAACACCGTCGTAATTTGCTTTATAGCGATCGATAGGCGAAGGTTGAGGTCATTTTTCTTAATATATATATATAACGTTTGCTTGTTTTTTTGTCATAAAATTTGGTTCTAAAAGGGTTATACTAGGTTTATGAGACCAAAAATTAATTATTTATATTACTTAGAAGACTCCAAATCCTCTCCATGAAAAACTACAACCCATTAGATAGAAAGAAACTTGGACAAAATGAAATTTATTAGAATGACAAGGGAAGAAGAACGAGGTGGCAGTGGCGTAATTTGGGGAGGTGGTGATAGATGGGGCAGTCCACTATGGGCCCCATTTACCGAGGAGCTCCTATGGCCGGGAATCGTTTGTTTATTAAATGGTAACTTCGTTGCAAAAAAAATTCTGTTAGCAGACCTAAACTTTTTTTAGTGGTAATTTTATCTTTGTGAATTTATTTAATTAATCGTGTTTAGTCACTTAAATTAAAAATTAAATACAAATATAGTAAATGTGTCAGTAATAAAAACTGTAATGGTATTAGACAGTTTTCAGCTCATTGACATATAATAAGCTTTATACGCCCAAAATAGATTTTAAATACGAGTAGATTTGAACCTAGAACAATTAAGAGGGTGAAGTCTGAATCTATATACTATACAGCACAACTAGTATAATATTTTAGTTATACGCTGATAAAATTTTCTTATGTTTCTTATGGAATATGTACATTTTTCCCACCTGAAGAAAAAGAGAATCATCAAGATGATGCCTCAATCAATGGATTTTATGAAGATTTAACGTAAATATAGCGTACCGATAAAAGAAAATGTTCTCTCCCATACATTAAACACTTTTATCATGTCACACTAACCTTCCCCTTCCCAGTATTTCATAATTACCGGCGCCTATGGTAACATGAGTAAAAAGGTTTGTTTTTAAATTTAATTTCATCTCTTGGCGAACGATCCAAACGCTGAATCCTAACCGTGCCACAAACGAAGAGCTATCTGATGTAGGAGATAAGATATTCTATAAATACATTAGTTCAGGAAGGTGGGCCGGAGTAGACTGATACGGTGTAAATGTTATTGGCGGTGGTCCGTGAAAGGTCAGCGGGCCAGCCGACATATCCTGACGAGGGAGAGGATTACAAAGGTCTCAGGTGTCTCATGCATCATGTACCTTCTTCAATAATCTCTCCCCTTATCTCGGTACTCGGGGATCACTCTTGTCAGAGTTTCTCGAAAGAGAAATCTGTTAATTTGGAAGTTGAGTAGGATCTGTAAATAATGTATGATGCTTTTAGAACTTCTATCAGGGCCGGAGATACGATTTTTACCAGGAGGGATACTATTAATTTTTCCGCATCTTCTTTTGTCTCCTAGTAATACATTTCGAAAAAAGAGGAGAGAGAAGAGCACACTGACTAGGGCACTGTATTCCTATACTCAAGATTAATTTTTTTATTTCATTTTTATTGTTACATTCCGCATCTACCCGAGCGGTTCATTAGCGGCTTTAGATGGGATCAAATTAGTTTAACTAAACAAGTTTAATGTCTTTTATGAATTCAAATACTTTTTGTAACCTCTCTTCGTCATCTGAAAGTGCGTCAGATATGTTAGAAGGTATATTATGTTTTGTTCTGGTGTCAGAGTATAGTCTGCAAGTTGTTACAACGTGTAAGTGATGTGTTGCATGTGTGTGATGTTTTACAAAATGGTGACTCCAGGTCTCTCATTAGGTGGCCATGGGTAAAGGCTGCATGTCCAATTTTAAGCCGAGTTAATATTATTTCCTCTGTTCTGTTCTTTCTGAAAGATTTCGTTTATGTTTGGATATATTTTCTAATTTCTTGCAATTTATTTGTAGATTGGTTCCACTTAAATTGCCATTGTTCATTTAGCATTTATTCATTTATTCTGTTACATTAAATGTGGTTCGACACTAAGATCAGGAGGCCTTTATGGTAAAGTGGGTACTTTTAGATAACCTGGCGGTTGAATGTGATCACGGACAAATCACCTCGTCACCCAACCGTTGGCCAAGAAATACTAACTCTTTGCAATCATCTCTGAGACCAGGGCCCAAAAGGTGACCTCATCGCAGGCGAAGGTTTAAATTTAAATTACGAAAGTGTGTTATTCTAAGTGAAACGGATCATTCGGAGTTGTTGCATTAAAAAATCTTAGCTTATTTAAAGAATATAAGGTCAAGAACCTGAGGATCGAGTTGAGAAATATATTGCTAAAAATGTGGGAAAGTTTTTTATTATTTTAATTTGTATATATCGGCACCATGTTAAAGTACCAAATGTTAACCCGCTCAACGTTTCACATTCGTTAATTTAACATGGTGTCGACGATATGGGTTCGAAAATGCAAAAAACAAAATTGCTATCGCTAGCCACAAAGGAAAAACTTTTTACATCCAAAAAAAGCCAGATTTCTTCAACTGAACGGTTTATCGGAGAGGGAAAAAAACGTAGTCTTTAAGAAATACAAGAACGTTAAATTGTGAATCTAACGATGTAAGAGGTAAGAAAATCACGGCCAACAACGCTTATTTTTACCAAATCTGTCAAAAACTGAGACAAATCACAATAAATGGTCCTGCAGCTTGGAAATGATTTCCCTAAGAGAAAAATTATTACTCATAGAATAAAAGTTGTAGAGCATTAAATTCTGCGTCCACTAAGTACTAATATTTTTAATGTAGTTCAACGTCAAACCACTAGATCTCCATCAGTTATACTCTATAAATAAGAATTTATATCAAGCAAATTTTTCACATATGAAAACATAAGTAAATGGCATCGAGAGGGATCAGAGCTAACTATAAAATTTATAGTTTTGGGAAGGTAAAAGAGGAAAGCTATCGCGAGGGTGTATGGGTTAGCAGTTGGCGAAGCGATATCGAGCGAGGGATTGAGTTTTATTAAAATTGGATTAGGTAGCAGGTTTTTATAGGCTGGAATACGCTGGAACCGTATCAGTAGCGAGCCTACAGCTACCGGCCACCGCGTCGAGATCGCCTAATCTTATTATTTATAGGCCCACATTAGCTCCTTTATGGCAAAGCTTTTCGACCATTTTATAGCTCGATTAGAAAGGATATCTTTAAAACTATATTCGCTCAGAGTGTGTATATGGCATCTGTTTTTCGTTTTTTTATGGCATAATTTCAGATAACTGGTCCGCGATTTATATCTCCTACTTTGGCAATATATCGTCTAAAACAGGATTATTGTCCATTCAAAAAAGTTGCTAGACTATACTATATTTGCGTGTACTATATTTACTTCCCTCTACAATAGAAACAATTGACATAAATGGATACGCACTTATCCTTCTATTAAAGATATAACAACAGGCGTGTCCAGATGGGAGTTTCATGGCGAAATTCGCGCCATCAAAATTTTTGACGTGGTTTTGAATTTTTGAGAGGGGCACATTTCGGCGGGGTTGTGAATTTTCGAAATGAAAAGCTCCAAACCATGGGACAAGAGGACCACAGCTAGTGTAATTGTATATGACAAATGATTTTTAAATTTTTACTTTAGATTTCACTATTTAGAGCAGGAGAGCAATAAAATATATTGAGAGAGGGAGGAGAGAGGTTCATGCGCGACCGACCTTGGGGAGAGATTGGCACCTCTGTATAACAATAATTCAAAGAATTATTTTTCTTTTCTTCCATTGGCTTTACAGACCTTGTAGATCCTTAGCCGACTTAATCACCCTTCTCTACAATTTAAATACTCCATCCAATCCCGTCCCACTAGATTTCGCACTTCCAACCTCTATCCTCCTCCTCACCGAACTGCTGCGTTTGACAAATCATTTGCAATTCAAGCCGCCTCCTTCTGGAATTCCATCCCTGCTGATACTCGACACGCACAATCAGTTTCCTCTTTCAAATCTCTCCTCTTTAAACACTTACTCCTTTCTCAATCCGTCTGATTCCGAAATATATCTAAGAGAGCTATCTAAGTACCCCCAGAAAATATTTCTGTTATTTTAGTTTTCTCTGTTTGTATTATATATATGTGTATGCTTTTCATGTCTTTTTCTCTCTCTCCGTCTATATTTTTACTTTTAAATAACCAATATTGTAAATATTTACTCTTTTTATGACCACTTATACATGTATTCAGTACTTATAATTTGTTCTAAATGGACAACAGTCCCAGAATAATAAAACATATTTTCATTTCATTTCTCTATCTCTTTCTATCTTGGGTGTTGCTCTCCGGTTATCAGCATGCAGTTATTCAGCATGTTTGTTGATTCGATAAATCCATTTGATTTTTGGCCTTCTATGTGCTCTCTTACTTCGTGGACAGACCTCTTTTTATCAAATTATTAACATCCCCCTGTAAATTCTTAAACAGCGTTTTCAACCTCGAGATCGGCAAACTTTGTCCATTTAATTAGGTACTAAAAACTGGTAAATACCCATTTGCTTTCCACTTGAATTGTATGATAATTTAAGCACAAAATCGAGAAAAAAAATGTCATTCAAAAATATTGAGCCGTTTGGCGTGACTTACACCTCCAAGATTTCAAAATATCCAAAAGGTTGTATAAGCCAAACGGCCCAATATTATTGTAGGCCACTTTTTTGAAAGCAAATGGATATTTAAGAGTTTTAGTACCTAATAAAATAGACAAAGTTTGCCGATCTTAAATTAAACACGCTCCAATTCAAGAGTTTTCGTAATAAAATGTTTTTAGGTTACGATGAGATGAAGCTATTCACGAAGTTTTAGGCGGATGCTAATCATTTAATAAAAAGGGGTCTCTATAACGAAATATTATTGTAATTGAAGTGATTGCATTGTGACTCAAGTTTTCTGTATTGTCAAGAATAAGCACATAGCTTATAAGCTGCAATAAAAATAATAGGCTAGGAGCTGACGATTATTTCATTTAACTGAAGGACTTTCAGTTTAATTTTAAATTCTAGATAAACCACATCTGAACAAACAGCTTTAGTCAGTCGGTTGAAAATCGTTACTTTCTATTCAGTGATAAACGCAAAGGGTTGAAAACTGAAAAAGGAAAGCTAGAGGTTCGATGCCGATAACACCTCATCCTTCTGCTAAACTCAGTTTAAAGGCCAATTCTTCAAGATCTAATACAATCTTATAAACAGACTGATCAGCTCCCAGAAATCGACCAAAAGGCAGATGAAGGGATTTTGTTGTATCAGGTGTTGATGAATTGGCTTTTAACTGAGTTTAGTAGAGAGAGGAGGTGTCATCGGCTTCGAATTTCTAGCATTCCTTTTCTAATTTTAATCTTTTGTATTTGTCATTGAATATAAATAGCAAAGCTGCTTAGATTTTCTAATCTAAATTTATTAAATTTTCACTTATTCCTAAAAAAGAACTATAATTCAATAATATATTCTAAAAATCAACAAGTGCCAACCACATCACGACGAGATGTTTTTGTGTAATATAAAATTCACATAAGTCAGTGTAAGTGCGGACATAAAGTGTGGGATCAAAGCCCGCACCCATCGGCTACATTCTGATCTGTGGGATATGCGCGGTATTAATGTGGTCTAGAGGTGAAACTTCCTTCACCTGTACCAGCTGCTATGAATAATGAAAATTTACATCAGCGTAGTACGATATTATCCTATTATTTAGAAGATAATTTTAAATAATCTCTGTTTTCTTGCTTTCTGACAAATCATTAGCCATCTTAAGTACTTTGACTTAATGAATGGATTCATGACTTATTAATGTATGAATCGAGAATACAAAAACAAACTGTCTTTGGAAAAATTTATGGTACCAGAAGGAGAGGACGACCTCGGAGACGTTGGATTCAAGATGTGGAAAAAGACCTGAAAATCTCGGTATAAGAAACTGGAGGAGAAGAGCGTTGTGTTGAGAGAACTGGAATCCAAGGCCCAACTGTAGAGCTATCTAATAAGTAAGTAAGTACTTTGACTGATTCATAATATTAATCGGAAAAAAACATTTTCATTAAAATAATTTAAGGTATTCAAGAAATCTGTATGTAGTAGTTAAAATATCTTATATAAATAACTGTGGGCAGTATACATTTTCTCATGTTCGTAAGAATTGGCAAAGAGTGCAACCGAACGCTCTTTTTCCGGTCATCTGTGTGGCGAGTCATCATCGAAAAAATCAGAATGTGATGTTGATGGAAACGGAATAACTTACTTTTTAATTTATTGATGTAATAACGTTTTTGCGTACAGATCGTATTATAAAAGTCGAAATGTCTTGTATCCATGTGTTTATATAAAAAGAGACTAAAAAAAAAAAAAAGAAGAAAAGTTTAATTTAAGGTTATGACTGTCCAAATGAATCTATGTCAAATTTCGACGATAAAGCGATTAGAAGGATAAATAAATTCCTGACCAGCTTGTCATGGTTTGCCTTTGAGGACCGAGATGAGCTGCGGCTGCTCATCACAATCCTTTATGCCAAACATTCCCGGTAGAGTGACTGGCCACCAGCAGGTTCTGCAGAACGGTTTCCCTGACTCATCGAGAATTCTCTACACTCCCTAACTGTCTTCCTCCGGGGCTCTGGGTAAGATTAAGAAGGAGGATATGGAAATTAGCGGCCCTTCAAAGTTGTTTCAAAACCTATTCGCCGTTCTTTAAAACCTTGTTTGGATTTTGACCAAACCAGTTCCACCGAATCGTGAAATACTATATCGCCCAATACTCAAGTTATTAAATAAATTAATTTACATGTCTCCAGCACGAACTGGCTTTGACGAAGACAACTCATAAATCACGAATAATGCAGTGATGTCACTAAAGTATTCTTTTAAAATTATAAGATAACTAACTCATAAGGAAAAACATTCTTGCCTCAACAAACTGAATCCATAACACCATTACACGCTTTAAAAATTTCAATAAAATATATTTTGCAACTCTATTTCTGACAGAAAGAAATAATATTTCTGAATAAACCTAAAGATATATACAATAAATGTAGTCCAGTCAATGAATGATTATAGAAGAAAATGGCGAGGATACAATTTTTGACTTTGAGACATTGTTTGAACTAGTAAGGTGGTAAACATATTATAAGTCCCTACAGCTATATGTAGTGATCCAGATGTTGGGGTGGGGGGAAAGAGAGGGCACCTAGAAGGACACTCAAATCAATAAAACTATCCATCGCATCGACAAAAACGTTCTATATAAAATTGAAGCTGATAAACTTTGCTTTATGATAGATAATATAATATTTAATATGGCATATAATCAATCATATTGCAAATTTTATCAGCTTTAATTTTGTATAGAACATCTTTATCGATGTGATGTACAGTTTTGCTGATCTAAGCGAAAACTCGAAAAAAGTGACCTTCTAGGCGCCCATCCTCTTCTGGCTCACCACCTAGGAGTGGGGACTTTTAGTATGCTTACCTCCTTACTAGTCCAAACAACGTCCCTAAGTCAAAAATTGTGTCCCTGCCATTTCTCCTTTTCGAGCATTCCTTGGCTGGTCTATTGGTCGAATTGGTCTTATAAGTATGTTAAGTAGCATAGAAATAAGTCCTATTGAACTCTTCATCATACATGATAAGACCATATAAGTCGTTAATACGATTAGAGACCTATAGAACGTAAATAATTTTTTACTATACGCAGAAAAAAAAATGATTTTTTTCTCATTAAACGTATCTTTAATTTTGTTAAGGCAATTAATAAACGTCCCATTAATTATTTATATTGATCTCTAGTTATTGCCAAGTTATTTTTTTTTTCTCTTCTGACTATTGGAACTATGATTGGATTTCGATTTTATAATTGGATTTTTATTTAATTCGTAGACTTTTCACCAAACAATTGAAAATATCTTAGTCACGCATATTTTTTGTGACAATCTTTAACTATCACCAATTATTTTTTGTATTTCACGTACATTTTGTATCTCATTATTTAAAAGCATTTAATAGTTTATCCGTCAAGATTACTTTGTCATGCTGAAGCCATTTCAGTTCCAAAAAATCTCAATATATTTAATTCACTTTATATTTCAGAATTTGGTAAATGCACGAATTTCCTATTTTTATTTTTCGATAAAGATTACGTTATAACAATAAAAAAAGGCAAAAAGTTCAAATTTTACCTAATATTAGCAAAAAATAATTAGCGTAAAAAAATGGTGGAGATAATTGCATTGTCACGAAAGTGAAGTTTCTTTTCTATCGCTCTATCGTCTCTGGATGAAAGTATTCAGTTTAAAAATTATTTTATTGTAATTTTCAAATGGATGTTTGTAGTATACAAGAAACTTGGACAATCAAGATTAGTGGCAGTCCCCACCACACCTTTCAGCTACACTTTCAAAGTTTTGATTAAATATGGAGAAATGCAATCGAGATCTTATATACATTCTTCATTAGTTGAATTCTTTCCCAGCTTACGTTTACACCTTTTTGTTTCCAAGTAAGTGCCCTATTAAAGCGACATAAGCAAATAAAGACAAACTACTTACTGGTGTGAAGTTATGTTGAAGAACATCTTGGAGTATTGGGGCGCCGAATCTTCAGGCCCGTGAGGAGCCGGGAACCCCAGAACAAGCATTACGGGTTTGCGGCCGAAATACTGTTTGGACTGCCTCAGGAAAGCCACGGAGTCGTTGGCGATCAAGTCGGGGTAGTAGTCCTGCAACGCAAACACAAAAACATTATTAATTCATTATGTAACAGGTTAGATAATTAACTATAACTGTTATTAAATAATAAAGCGAAATAGTCGTTACATAATTCTCAGATATTAATTCATCCATAATTTCCGTTTTAAGTTCCTGTTCAATCGATGAATTCTTAATATGTCTACACTTTCTCTTTGAAAATTTAGTTTTAGGCACTATATTACTAAAATAGTGTATAGTTATAGACAAAATCAAAGATACAAAGATGCCATTAAAAAAAAAAAAAATTTAAATAAAGTAAAAACATCATCTCAGTATCAACACTAGTGTTGCCCAAAAACAAGAGCAAGACGAGTGTTCGTATTGCGTACTTAGTCTTGTTCTTGGTCTTGGTCATGCGCAAGAGTCTCCCTACAGTCTTGCAGTTGCGTATGAGCTTATTACTATATTTATATTACTGTATTTTTTTAGATAGGAGAAATCTAACTAAGCCCGAATAAAAAATTAGAAGAGTTAAATGCAAAATCATATTGGTTATACCAATTCTTTACATATAGTAACTAAAATTGTCTAGTATCGTTAACTATTTTGCTTTAATTTTTATTCAAAAAATCGGTTTATTTTTTTACCAGTCTTGGTCTTGGTCTTGCAACAGTTAGGCGGCTTTGGGTCTTGGTTTGCAAACTGCAAGACCAAGACCTATTTTGGGCAACACTAATCAATACCGAGGAAGCAAGTTAATGTTTTCTGAAATCTATTATTTATGTATCTTCCAAAATAGAATTTAGCAAATAAATAACTGGAGAAAAAATCTGATAAATTGAAAAAAATCTCAATATTGTTATTTTTCGCGTCCATTGAGTATTTTGAGATTTCATATCTTTCGTCTGAAAATAATTTTATAACGCCGAAACGTCACAAAATTAAATTAAAAAACTGAAATAAAAAAAAATCGTTTTTGTTAGATTAAAAGTATTTAATTAGTTTTTTGGTTTATTAATTTCAATGACGAACCTTTACTTATTGCTTTTCCTATATTTTTAGATATATATATATATATATATATATATATATATATATATATATATATATATATATATTGTCATTACTATTTATCTATTTTTAACAAATATATATGTTTTTAACATTCATTGTAAGACAATAAGATGGATGAAATACCTACTAGGAAGTTAATTAGAATGTTTTATAATAGAGTGCTTTTATATAAATATTTTCTTGATAACTGATTAAAATAATTATTAATAATTTTATGTTGTCTCTAACAGATTAAATTGTTTTTTATGATGGGTGAGTAACCCGAAACGTTAGACAGAAGAATATAATAGTATAATAACTTATATAGTATAATATTATATATTAAATAGTATATATATTATTTAGCATAATATAATAATAACTTAAATAGAATACTACTATAACTCTTCCTTTGAAAAAATATCAATTCATGAAGTATTTAATTATTTTTATTATTATTTTCAATAAAGAACCTTAATAATTGATCAATGAATAAAAATAATACTTTTAAAGATACTTAAAATCCGAAAACCAAATAATTAAAAATCTGGCTGTATGTAGTTTTTCATTTTACCGGATTAAAAACACATACAATTATTCTTTTCTATTTAAATAAAAATCTTTTATAAGCTCACCATTAAAAATAAAATAATAAGTGCGATATATCACTTCTGATAGAATGTTTTGTTCAATATCAATTCATAACCCCCGTGTTACGTAACTCATTGTTAAGAAGGGTAATAAATTTGATACGAGAGGATAGTGACGTTGTAACCTTCCCGCTTATGTTGTAAACGATTCAAAACCAAAACTATGCAAATAACCCGCATAATTATTTCTTTCTTCTTCTTTTTCTCCTTTATTATTTCTTTTTCATCCTCCATTTATGTTTACGAGAAAGTAAGGAAAAATTGCACTCCCTGTTGTGAAATCGATTGTGCCAATCACGCTAAGTAAATTAATTGCAGAAGTTCATTTTCAAATATGTTCGTAGCATTTTATTGATTTCCACGTGGACATTATTAAGAACTTCGGAATTATATCTTCATATCCTTGAATAAATGATTCTGAAGTTTGGAAGAATTAAGGGCAGTTGCTTAATTGGTACTAATAAATTACGACAAAGACGAAGGAATGGTAGTTTTACAACTGAATTGGACCAAAAGGGCAAATGAGTGTAATTTACAGCATGTCGATTTTTTTAATATATTTTTCAAGAGATTTGTCTAAGTAAATGAGATGTAAACTTTTGTTTTATAAATTTAATATTACTATAAGTTATTAAATTAAATATGTAGAAGACGTGCTGACCTATAACATTCTTTAGTAGTATTTTTATATATCTCTGACAAGCCGATCCGGTATCTAAGACTTCATCTGGACAAGCGCCTAATATATAATCAATATACAAGACAGAAACGATAAGGAAAAGTTCGTCGTTTCAGACTGATATAACCGTTACTAATCTATCAAAATCACCTATATATAAAAAAAAATTCATTTACACAACTCATATTTGACCAGTTTGGATTCAAATCTTGTACTTATAATAGTGGTATTCACTCATTAAATGTGTGAAGTCGAGAAAATCATTTACGAAATGTATGTTAAACATGGACGATAGCACTCTCGATTTTAACATAGCCTAGGGGGTAAAGGGTTGCTAACTTCGTAAACGCACTGAGAAGGTTATTGTAGGGTTCCAATGTGTTTGATTCTATGTTCTTTGTTTGAGTACAATATTCACAGAAATGGAATATAAAGACAGCTAGGTATTTCATCTATGTATTCATCAAATTCTTTGCCTTCTTAATCATCATTAATGCTTTATAATAAAGCATTTTTAACCAAATAATCCAGCAACTCAGTCCATTAGTAAACCTTAGTAAATCAATTAAGAACGCACAAACTTTGTTTACAGTACAGGCACAACCTTACTATAACTAATAACACGTTAGCACAGACAGGTTATTTACCATACATTCAAAATTTGTGTTGACTGCTTGGCATGATAGTACATTAAGCATTTACAACTAGTGCGATGAATATTCCTAATGTGTAACCTTAATGTCTTTAATGTATCATATACATCATATATTGCAGATTAGGTATTTAAAACTCAGCTATAAACTTTACACCCACCGGAATCTTTGATATCGCTGATGTTCCCAAACGCCTTGTAGGACCCTTCTTTGAGATCGGCTCAAACTTCATTCTAAATTCAGAAGTACTGCTCAACGTTAGTCAGTCAGCTTATGTACTTGATAGTGTAGAATTTGGATTATAGGTCTAAACTAAATTACTAATTAGCTTTAAATAAGGGAAATATTATTTTTCTTTCCTTTTAATGTTGTCTGTGCATTTCGAGGAATCTATATTGGTTTGTCACAATTTTAATTTTTGTTTTTTTCTCCCAAAGTATAGTGCGCTTACCCCACGGCGGGATTATTAGAAAGAATGACGGTTTATGGACCATTAGTGTTCTGTAGTAATAGGCTAATAGGTAAATGCAAGACTGTTGCGAAACTCTTGTGTGAGACCAAGACCAAGACCAAGACAAGGAGTGAGTGCGCAAGACCGAGATTCATCTTGACAGTTTCTACACGACCCACTGTTATATTATGTTAATCAGATATAACATTAATACATTTGAAAAAGTTACAAATTTCAATTAATAAGTTTAAAAATAAGCATCACACACCATGAAACCTTATATTGATATTGTGATATGTTTTAGACTACTGACAATCGGAGTTGATCAACCTCGTTAAGCATGAAGCATGAAGCATTTCCTGTTACATTTAAGATTTTTAAATCTTTATTTACGACATAACATCTGGCAAAAAAGAAATTCAGGCAGATAAAATTTATCGTCCAATTTTTTTGTATTTTTTCCGATCGTAATCTTTTTAAATATGAAGGCAACAGCAATCCCTACGAAGATAATTATCAACTTTGTAGTACATTCTAACATTTTCAGTTTGAGGCCCTGGAGCTTTTTACCTTTAATGTAAAATATATCAAGAGAAACGGCATAGGAGCAGAAATAACCATTTTGTGAATTTCATTTTAGAAAGTATGATAGATATTGTAATATTAAGAAAGAAACGTTATTAAGCTTTAAGTTTTCAGTGTTCGTATGTTTTGAAAATCATATTTTTCCTCAACATCAAGACCCTACACAGGCCTCACTAACACTACAACATCACTTACTTAAATTACAAGTTTGGTTCACATTATCGAAAATTCGACTTAATCGTGACAAATCCAAACATACAACATTTTCTCTTCGAAAAAACACCTGCCCTCCAGTTTATATTGACAACAATCAAATTCCTCAAACGGACACGGTACTTTACCTTGGACTCACCTTCGACAGAAGGATGACATGGGGTCCGCATGTTAAAATGAAACGTAAGACACTTAACAAACGACTCAAACTACTTTACTCTCTTTTTTCCAAATCTTCAAAACTAAAACTAAAACAGAAACTGAATACATATACATACTTACTTAAGCCCATATGGACGTACTCATCACAAATATACGGCATCGCTAAAAAGATCGCTACAAAAACTTCAAACGTTCCAATCAAAATTATTGCGACTCATAACAAAAGCACCTTGGTACGTGACTGACAAAACTCTACATACTGACCTCCACTTTCCAACAGTTGATCAACATATAACGATCCTTTATCAACGATTTTACACAAATTTAAATGGACATAATAACAGACTAATAAGAGACATGGCCACAGCTGACATACCTCAGAACACGAGGAGGAGACTAAAAAGGCGTTGGATGAGGGATCTCCTTCCTTAAACAACCTAAATAATTGGAACAAGTTAGGGAAGAGGTACTGCTGAGCACTTTCCTTCCCCAGGCCTGTCATGTCATTATTTCATGATTCGCCATCACATTTGCTGATTGTTAACAATAAGTTGACAGGCGCAAATACATTTTTCATAGACAAAAAAAATATTTTTTCTCATAACTCAATTTATGAGAAAATAACAAGTAATTAAGTGTTTGGTATATCTCAAAAAGAATGGTGAAAAAAAGTTTAAATTATGATACCTATTTTTTTTTAAAAAACATAACGATCGGTTACCAAATAAGAATGACCAGGGGCGATTTCAATTTCCAAAATCAACATGAGGGACCGTTAATAATACAATGAGCGAAACATAAATAAGCGGCGGACTTGAAACAGACCCGCTTCCGATCATTCTCAAAGAGGAACAAGAACAAAATCCTGGCACTAATTTCGTTTTGATTATGCACCTCGCTCCAACTTGGCCTTGTCCTTCGCTGCAAGAGCTCCTCGGGCGACTAGCTCGACCATCCACCAATTATTGAGTCAAACCTGGCCCGAAGAAGGACGTATCTTACCTATGTATTATCTTTATCTTCCTATTCAGTTCCTCTGGCTGTAGCTTTCTTTTTTATATAATAATTCAATTTCTTTTAAAAAGATGTACCACTAAAGTACATAACGTTCCAGAATTCGATACTTCCCGAGGTACTGTTTCTCGACCAATGCTTAGAAGTTAATCTTAACTCTTAAGTTTGACCTCTAACATTTGCAAGGCAAGGTACCCACTTCATAGGGGGTTAGGAGGATGCATGTCTGACTTGCCCAAGTAGGATGTTCTGAATTCAAGGTTGATATTCAGAAAATATTTTTTTTGCTAACATGTGCTCGAACATATGCCAAAGATTTAAAAAGTTCAGTTTCTTGTCTACAAACGGACGAAAAACAAGAAAAAAAAAATCTTAAACTAAATAAACAAAAAAAATATTTTGCTAGGTAGTGACTTGGCTGATAACTCTCAAATGGATAAAAAAATATTACCTAAAATAGAAAAATCAAAATTCACGGAATACAAAAAAAAAAAAAAAAATAGAAAATTTTGGTTACTTAAATGGTAAAACATTTAATGATATTCTTTCCTTGTTTGAATATCTAATATTATTAAGTCTAATACATCAGAAGGTGTAAACTTTAAATCTTTAAGATTTAATTTTAAATGCTTAGTGAACTTTTTATCCTTAACTTTAAATTTAAGTTATTTTTGTTAACTTTTCTTCTTTTAAGCTTTAACTCTTAATTTGAATTGTACTTTTTAACTTTTTTATTAAAATTTAAATTGTGATTTTTAAATTGTAATAGTTAAGTTTTCCTCATTCAACTTTAAATTTTAATTATAACAAGGGGAACTTATTACTCTCTGTCACCCACCCCATTTTACAATTTCTACAACTGTTTATTTAATTGTACTACTCATTCCTCAAATTTTATAACTGTAATTTACGTGTATTCTTTTGCTCAGATTGTATTATTTTTTATCAACACAAAATAAACTGAACGAAACAACAATTCGGAGAAATTTTTAATTTCTTTAAGCATTTATGTGATACATTGCGCCTAGTAGTCAATGTATATTATGATATAAATATAATTATTTTTATTGCCAATTTGTAACCATAATATATATTCAACTTGTCCAGCTTCATATAAGCCCAAGAGCAATTCGATCCTTTTATTTTTAATATTTATTAATATTTTGTACGTTGTGCTTTCTATATATATCGTGTTTCCTTTTCTATCATAATAGTTATAATTATATCACAATATAATATAAATAATCTAAAAACTACCACACCCAGATGAATACCATTTTCTGTACAAATTTTTGGTCTTAAATCATTATTTTGTATTAGGAGAATTAAGAGGTTACAGGAGCTCAACACATATGTAATTTAATGAACAGCTGTGTAATTAGTGCTAATTATAGAGCTAATAGGAAAGATCTCCTTACACTAAAATAAAATAAAATATGATAGTCACTAAAAACTTTTTTATATAATAGAGAGATTTTATTTGTGCTTTTAACTTTTCAATTGCATGATGACAGGTGAGGATGAAAATAAAAATAAAAAACTTTTCTAACTTTAATTTAATTGTACTTGTATAACTAATTGTAGTTATTCTTTAGTTTCCTAAATTTATTATTGTCCTAAATGTAAAATTGTATTAGTTAAGTGTAATTTCTTTATTTATGTATCAGTAGTAGTTGATTTAATAATTGTAATTTAGGATATGAACTGAGTGGTCCAAAAACCAAACATTTAATAAAAAAATAAAAAAAATATATATTAAGAGGTGCTCATACATATTTCAAAAGGTCAATAGTGCATACCACTTCCCAAGAAATTGTATTCCTCTCTTCTTCTTAAAAAACAGTGCAGGTGAAAGTTATATAATAAAAAATTTGCCGTAATCAGTTCCATATTTTTCTCTTACTCTCTCGTTTGAAAGTACTGACAGATTGAAACACAATTAAAAAAAAAAAAAAAAAAAAAAAAAGGATCTTTTATAAATCGATCAAGAAATCCCTTTCTAGATACTTCTAAATATACACATTGAATCAAAAACGGCAAGCTTAGGCTCAAGATATCAATTATTAATTTTGCATATTCTTTAAGAAAGACCTTTTTTAAAAAAATTTCTTTATTGATATTGAATTAATCTAATATTTTTTCATTTTATTTATTTATACATCCAGTCACAGTATATTTTTTCCCTTGACAAATAAATAAATGTGTATGTTATAAATAATTCATCGTGGATTTACTCTTTACAATTAATTAAAGGTCCTTTCAAAACGGCATTTAAAACGAATAAACAAATTATGATTCCGCAAGCGGCAACTGGATACTTATAAGATATAAATCTTAATATATCCTCCCCATCCGACATTACGAACACGCGAAAATGGGACGGGATTCTTCTGACCTTGAATACCATCCATAAAATACGTGACTCAATGCGGTAGCTGGCAGATTCCTGAGGTGTGGTCGAGATTTTAACCGAGGTTAACCCGCCGACTGGTGAAAATAAACCCAGCCATAGCCAAGGGTTCACACGGGATCATTTTTAGAGATTTCATAAAATGTAAGCCGTTTTATCGGGTTATAAAGTTTATATGGTTGGTGTGTAGGGCACGAACAGTTTGAGGCACATTAAATGGACTCGCCGTATGAATACATATTGCGGGAACATGGTTGCGTCAACGTGTCCCAACTGCCTTGTATTAATGTATCAAGATTTAAAATCAAAGTTGGGTCACGCAGAAATATTTTCTCATTGAGGAAACCGACTTTATCGTCCTAGGCTTGAAAGTTCATATCAATCTTACCAGCGGTTCCTAAAAGAAACATGACAATTTAAACACACGGCGAGAAATGTGAATAATCCTAAAGCCACTACGAAATTCATTTATTCAAATATGTAGTAAAAAATGTGTAAAATAAAAAAAAAATCTGTGCAAAATTTTTAATTAGGAAGAATATCATTACCATGTACTTATATTTTTATCCGCACATAAATTATTACAGTAAGGCTCGAAACCGGTTTTATACCAAATATAAGCCCTGTCATGCTCAAATACCATGAATGGGATACCTTTGGTTTCAGAATCGGAATTATTGGATTCTGCGTAAGCCCAAAAGCGTACTATTTTCGAGATAACGCAAGGCATAGGGTTCGCATCCACACAACCTTACGTTAGTTGTATTGAACACATGTCTCATTTCGTCGATTGAGGCCTCTTATGATCTCGAGAGAGGAGGAGTTTATATTATTTATCGATGGTGTTTTTGATCGGCAAGCCATATCATCGTTAATTCTTCACCAAATCTCAAGAATGAGCCACCGATTTCGAAGGCTTCCTTCAGCCGGGAAAGATAGTCCAATCACTCCGAAAATTCAGGCAAACAAGATATGAAAGAAAACAAACTTTATTTGCGAATAACTAAAAAAATACACACTTTTCCCTCGGTTATACCCATGATTACTAAATTCCCTACAAAAGAGGAAAAAAATCATCGAAATCGGACAATTTTTAGCAAAGATACACCTTCTTGAAATTTGTAAACATGTTTGTTCCAAGCATTAATGAAGATTTAAATTAACTTTTGTTTCCTTTGTCGATTGTATTTATCGATAAAGTAAAAACTGATTTCTTTATCTTTTGAGTCGTTGAATTATTTTCTTTTCATATTAATTTGGTATTTTATAACTATTGGATTGTATGTATATATATAATTCATAGAAATATATATAATTCACAGAAATTATTAAGTGTTTCGAATTGCATGTTTTGAATAGCATCTGGAGTTATAAATTATTAGGAATGAACCAGAAAAAACAAGTAAATGAAATAATTGAATTAATGTACATAATAAGTTGGCAAAAGTGAAACAATGTAGATGGCAAATTTATTGTGAGCCAGAAATATGTATATCTAATAAAGACTTACAATCAAGTTTTGTAATAAGTTCATCGAAAAAAAAACTGCATCAATAATTAAAAACATCAAACGCAACTTATTATAAATATTATACATCAATAAAAATAAATATAAATACCTTAAAATAATCGTCCCCATGCTTGATCTTCTTTCCGTTGAGGTTGATTGAATAATTGTAGTACCTCGAGTTCATGATGAGGCCGCCCCACTCTCGCCAACCAGGAGGAATGTAACTGCCATTGTATTTATTCAGATACTTTCCGAAGTAACCTAATAAAAACAAAAAAAAATAACTTATTATTTTTCATTTATATTATATTGAAATATATTTAGTAATAGCATAATTGATTTGTAGCGGTTCCAGAGAAGGAGAAATTTACCCTAAAAGTAACTATTTAAAATTTCTTTCTATTACTACTACTGTGAATAACTGTAAATTTAATTGTTTATGTGGTAGGACGAAATTAAAAAAATGACTCTTGTGAGAAATCTATAGTTATTTGTTTGAAAGTAATTAATTACCATATATTAATTAATATGTTATATACCATATATTAATTAATTAATACCATACATTAATTACCTACTCTATACAATCGATTTTTAATAATCTGAATTATTAAATAGTTAGATAATCGATGTATTGCAAATTTTCTCATAGACAAGGTAATATTTTTCCCAAATTTTTTGGTCTTACTAATAGTTTCTCTCCCAAATCCATTGATTAATCCAATTAATAAATCTGTATTTGTTTGCAATAAATTCAGTTTTCTTCAGATCTATGTATAGTTTTCTAGATATCTATATATATTCATATATGTATATTAATCATAATAAAAATTCAAGAATAATAATTCAAATAGGATTAAATGCTAATGAATTCTCATACTTTCAAATAATACAGGCGAATATTACATATATTACAAAGAACAATATTCTTAATTTATATACATTGTTACTGACCTTTTTTTTAAATTTTCATTACGAAACCTTATAAAAATTATAAATTACTTTTAAATAGTACTGCGTATGTGACACTAATTAACCCATTCAAAAATATTGAAGCCTGAAAACTATTTTTTGTTGTTCGACTTAAATTTTAAAAAATCGTTTAATATAACGTAATAGAAATCCTATCTTTTCCTCATTTCTGTATTGATTATTTTTGTTGTTTCCGATCGTTTTATATTGCTAGACGTGGGCAAGTCCGTGGGTGAAGATAAAGGTCTGAAGAAATCCAGGTTTCCTCCGCAAATATTTTTTCACATTTCACATTGAGAGAAATTCTATAGTGCGTGTGGTACAGACCCCTTTTTCGTAAATAGTTTCATCTCATCGTAACATAAAACTATTTTATTTACGAAAATTCTTGGGATTGGGACGTTTTCAATCTATAGAGGGGCAAACTTTATCTATTGAATTAGGTACTTAAAACTCGTTAATTCACATCTGCTTTCTACATGGATCGTAAGATAATTTGATCACAAAGTCTATAAAAAAGGTTGCCTTCAAAAATATTGAGCAAGTTGGCGTGACCTACACCCCCAAATTTTCAATATAACAAGGTCATATGAGACAAACGGCCCAATATTTTTGAAGCCCATCCTTTTTCTCGACTTTGTGTTAAAATTATCTTACGATCCAAGTAGAAAGCAAATGGGCATTTACGAGTTTTTCGTACCTATTAAATAGACAAAGTTTGTCCCCCTCCAGATTGTGAAAACTACCCACTTCCAAGAGTTTTCGTAAATAAAATAGTTGTAGGTTACGATGAGATGAAACTATTTACGAAGTTTCAGGCGGATGTTAATAATTCGATAAAAAGTGGTCTGTAACACGGACTACTACAAATTACAACTGACACTAATTTTTTTTATTGTTTCTAATTAGTCATCATTAATTAATTCAGTTTAAATAAAATTTCTTATAAACCAGTGTTAAAGATAAGTGGTCATTACTATAGGTATATTTACTATCACACTCTATAAATTTTTAGGAATATTTCAAATGTCGCCGTGTAGATAAATTGCAAATCTTCTTAAACTATTTTATGATATTTATATTTTGAATTCTTGATGAAACCAATGAAACTCTTCCCTCAACCGCCAATCATTGAGGTGTAAAGGTGACAGATGTGATATACGATCGGTCGGAACCACATCAAAAGGATTCTATTCTAGACGAGATGTATTGCAATCGCATACACCTGAGCATTACTCAGACATTAAAAAATGCAATGACAACAGGTGATCTGAAGTATGATTTCAATACATAAGTAAGCTTCAATATTACTTCAACTCGAGTTACTCAACGAATAAGGTTATTTAGATATATTCATCGCCTTAGATGTCGCTAGAGGAAAAAGTTTCATTCCTTATTTTCTCGAGATATACTATTTAAAATACAAAGACTGGTTTGTCAGCCTAAATTTAAATTTTTTAACAAAGCATTATATTTATAGCATTACAATTTTGTTATTATAGGCGCCTTTGGATTATCACTTATTTCGTTCTCTACAAAACTCATTAAGAGTTCCAAAAGATTCAATCGATGAAGTGAAAAACGAGGTGTTGGATTTCTTTAATTCAAAACCAAAGAATTTTTTCAGATTTTTTTTTTTTTAATTTTGTTTCAAGATGGTAAACTATTATAGGACAAGATAAATACATTTCAGATTGAACGTGTTTTATTGATTTTATCCTACCTATTATATCACGTAATTAAATACAATCAATATTAGGCACATTTTTTTGGTGTACTTTTCTCATGATAATTTATATTAAGTCTAAAGGAACTGTTTAAATCAATTCGGATCAAACTCTGACTTGAAAACTTAAAATTTCTCTCTGAGTTATTCAATTTTACCCAAATACGAGCCATGCATATCTTTATCTGAGACCATTAAATTATATTAGCTATAAATGTCTTGAAACCACTCACGGATTTTTGTAGCACGAATATGATAATTTGACATCATTAAGGAACAATGATATGTCCAGATTTTTATTTAGTAATTGTTTCTGCTTAAAATGAGTTAAAAATATATACATATTTCATTTTTGAAACTTATAAACTTCAATTGTTTTTTTATAAAATTTTAATTAATTAATGATACATTTTACTTGTTTTCCAGGACCATTCTTTCTCGAGCTTCTTCATGCTTTCAGGTATGCTTTGAATAATGTAATATGTTGTAAGATTAAATAATACGTTACTAATTATTAAAAGTAAAATATATTTTAATCAGTAAAACAATAACAACTGAGTTTTGTACGAAAAACATACATTGTTCGAAGTACTTTTAAATATTGTCATTAACACAAAGAAACATTAGTTGCGTTGCATTATTTCTATGTTCCCTGTTAAGTTAAATAAAAAATAATCAATTATTAATCGTATCTCATATAATTTTAGATAATTGTCATTACATTTCATAATTATAAATTCTGCCTACATGTCAGTCAAAAAAATATAGAAAAATTCTAAAAGTTATAAACAAGTTGTTACAATTTTTTTATACATGTAGTTCGTCTATTATATTAATATAAATATTAGTCATTTTTTAAGGAATCTACAATGCAAAAGGCTTATTATTCAATTCTCCAGCAATGGTAATAATTTTGCCCAATGGACACTGTAATTTTCCCCCCCTTTTTCTAGCCTCTACCCTAAAGGGTCATTGGCGTTTTCTATGATTTATACTCTGTTATAGTAGTTTACAATTTTTTTAAATTTTAACACGATCGAGACTCTTTCTTCATTATCTTGGATTATTTCGTTTGGTGTTTTTCGTAGTTCTATTTTTTCTTTGTGCCTTTCGAATTGGGGACATTCTACTAGAAGGTGTTTCACAGTTTGCAGTGTATCATTATATTTCTCGCATGTAGGAGCTTCTAGGCCTCTTAAAAGGTAACTATGAGTGAACTGGCAGTGCCCAATCCTAAGGCGGCACAGTATAATTTCTTCACGCCTGGACCTTCTGTTGCTAGTGAGCTATTTATCGCAAGTGGGTTTCACTTCTTTCAGCTTACACTCTTTGATCCTCCACTCTTTTTCCCACTCTGCCAGTTGTTTTTTTCTTTATTTCGTGTACCCAGTCTTCTAAAGTGATATATTTCACTCTAGTCACTTCCTCTTCTTCTCCTCCACTTCTTGTTAAATGGGCTGCATTGTCAGCTTTTTCATTTCCTAAAATTCCGCTGTAATTGTTTAATAACCATTATAATAAACTTGTAATAATATTTTTGACATCCAAGCTGGTAATCCATAAAATAATACCCGTTTTCTGAGTTTTAATTTTAATATGACAACAATTTTATAACTCATTTATAATGAATTAATCGATTAACTTTGTTTTTTATATTATTAAATATATAATCAGAATTTATAAAATCATTTAGTATTTTTTTTATTTGTAATTATTTTTCAATTCTATTATTCTATTCAATCTGTTTCCTGATCGAAGTTTCCTTTTGATTCGCCACAGTTTCAATAATGTTTTAAACAAATATATGCCAGGAAGTTTCTACTTAAAGTATCATAATAGGGCGCTGTTGGTTTGTTAGTATTCAGTTGGAGCCTAGGGCCTTAGCAACTTGGAAGGGGAAGTTCAAGCAGGGGCTTTAAGAGTTAAAGCTTCCGATATTCGACGGAGAATCTCTTGAGTTGTTAATGGAACAAGATCAACCACAAGACAATACTGGTTTCAAAGTGTTATAATAACCAGAAATTTAGAAATGTTGATATCAGGATTTTACATTTAATCTTCATTACAAAATTTAAAAAAAAAAATAAATACAAATAATTGATATCATAAACATCATCAAGTGAACAGTTCTTCTGCCTGAATTGGGAAAATGTTGGCAAGTGTCTATTTTGTATCTTACAGACTCATGGCTTTATAGTTTGGATTTTACTATTCTTAAAGTCTATTTTCGAGCTTTTTGTTTTGTTATTAGTATTATATTTTAATTTATTCAGAATAAAAATAATAATACTATCATAAATATATTATTCGTCAACAAGGTAGATAATATATTTATTGGCCTGAATACAACGTAGCCTTAGAGTCTGGCCCAATTGATGTTAGTTTATTAACAATCAATTACTTTCATTAATATACAATTGACGAATTTTAATTCGTTCGGCTATTGGCGATTGTTTGCGAAATGATGGATTTTTGTCATGAGGACGAAAATATGTTAAGGGAGTCGTCCCCTAGCGATGAAAACGTTTATTAATTCATAATTTATTTTTCTTATCAATCAAAATTCTAAAACAAATTTTAATATCTGTAATAATAACGCTTTCCAATATCGGCTGGTTCATATTTTCGATAACACGAAATTACTCTAAAAATTATTACTCAAATATAAAATCTCCCCTTGTAAAAAAAAATTAAATGTATAGCTTAAATTAATAAAACTAAAAGAGAAATTCCTCCAAGGGATAATGTTATTAAAAAGGCGCCCTATTTCAAAATGGAAGATTGTATCGGTATTTTTGTAATTACGAAACCCCCCACCGACTTCTCATGATGAGAAGCATTGGCATTTATCGGATATGCGGGAGAATGGCCAGTAACCGAATAAATTTTTCGGTTCGGGTGTATTTATTTTTAAATACCAAAGTAATATTGGAATATTGGAGTTATATTCTCGGTTTGTAAGACAAAATACATTAAATAATTCCTTACTTAAGTAATTGCATACAAATTATAAGATTGACTGAATTAAATTTATACAAAGCCTAACAACAATACTAGATAAAAATAATAATAGCACGTTGTATATATACTGGGTGTCTTGTAAGTAGAGGAAAATTTTTATAATCCTCAACACCTACAAAAAAATTTATATAAACGATGGACCAATTTTCAGGATAAAAGTAGGAAATCCATGTTTTGTGTTTTTTTTAAGCAAGTGGTATTGTTAGAAGAAGAAGAAGAAAGTAAATTTTATTCAGGGACATTTAGTCCCCTAAGAATAACTATAATGAACTGCAAAACAAAAACAAAAAAAAAAAAATGACGATTTTCTGGTACCATAAGAAAATAAACAATAATTATTGGATATTTAATAGTTGACCGTTGCATTAAAAAGGAAGGAGATGGTCCGGGGTTGCGGTCATGAATAGGCTAAATAGTGGTAAAACTATTTTATTGAAAGCCGACATTTCGACCCGACTTTGCAGGTCTTCATCAGGGAGATGATTCATCTAGGAGTTTCACTTAAAACTGAAAGCGAGTTCTAACTGAAACTCCTAGATGAATACACCTCTCTGATGAATACCTGCAAAGTCGGGTAGAAACGTCGGCTTTCAATAAAATGGTTTTACCACTATTTAGCCTATTTATGACCGCAACCCCGTACCATCTCCTTCCTTTAAAGAATAATTAGTTAACATAACATAATAACCCAACCTTAACATTAAAATAAATTAAATACAAGTAAACATATAATTTGCACATAAATATATATGAGTGTGAAGCACATATTTCTTCTGATTAACAATACAGTCCAATGAAGGTGTCAGCTGTTAAATACGAAGTTTGTTCTTACATGTGTTCGGAAGATTGATTACTTAGGAGATAGAAGAATAATTGTTGTTTAAATGTGGTAAAGGAAGATGATTTGCTTATGGAGGCAGGTAATGAATTCCAGAAAAAGAAAAAGGAAAAAAGAATTGTGTTACGTTTAAATTGAAGAAATTACTTAAACTGAATATTTATTTAGTTGTCGCTTCCTATTCAACAAACAACACGACTTGCATAAAAATAACACAACTCAGATTTCCTACTTTTCTGCTGAAAATTGGCCCATTTTTTAAATAAATTTTTAGTAAGTCTTGAGGTCTGCTATCATTTCTATAAAAATTTCCCTCTAATTACTGGACGCCCTGTATATTAGTGTAGCCAAAATGTGAGACGAAGACTTGGTCTTGCGCACTCAGTCTTGATCTAGGTCTTGATCTTGCACAAGACTCTTGCAGTTACCTATTAGCTTATTACTAAGAGATATTACTGTAATTTTTAATATAGAAGAAACGTAACTAAGCCCGAATAAAATGCATAAGTATATTGATTATACCAGTTCTTTTTACATGGTGACTAGTAATTGTCAGGTATTAGTAACTATTTTGCCTTAATTTTTATTTAAAAAATCGATTTTTTTTACCAGCCTTGGTTTTGCTCTTACAATAGTTAGGCGGTCTTGGCCTTGGTATGGTATTGGTATTGGTATGGTATTGGTCTTGCAAAGTGCATTTTTGGGCAGCACTACTGTATATAGATGGGCAACACCTATTTTATGATAGAGCGTTTCTCTTTCAAGATATCTATTATTTTACTTTACTTTATTCGCAGTCATATTGCATATTAATAGCATAAATCTATTCACCAATGAGTGAAATGCATCAAATGAAATGCATATGGACAAGACTGTGTCCTACCACCTCCTATCTGGGCACAGCATAAATAATGGGGCCCTCACAGATCCTAGATGTGGCCCAGTCCTGGCAGGCGGGCTGTATATCATCAGCCTGTATTAAGATATTAGGCAAAGGCGCTAAGAGAGCAATAAATATAAAGAAGGGAGGACAAGAGGGGACAGTGCAGGGGTGACATAACGGAAAAAACTGGTTCCTCCAGTCTGCTCGGCCGTGTCCACCGCCGGGGTCTTACACGGCCTTACATAACCGCTATGCGGTGCATCTCGTAAGAGCATCCCATCCTTCTCTTAGTCATGGGTGTGGCTACCGTTCGCCATTACATTAATATCCACAGGCTAATGAAAAGGTTGTCGTTGAAGAAATTATTTTATTGAAAATATCAACTTGGACCTCCAAGTATAATCTATAACATAGGATGTAGTGGTTTCTATCTAAATGGTTACCAAGTGGTATAAAAAATATCTGGTGTGTCCACTTACACGACTTTCCTACCTATTTCAGAAAAATTTTTATATCTTTACATATGTCCATGAAGAAACAAAAAAGAAATGAACTAGATTTATTTTCCTGAAAATTGATCAAATAAAAGATTTGAGTACGATTTATTTGATAAACTAAAGCAATGTAAACCGGCTTAAGGTAGATCAGTGTAAAAATTTCAATATTCACTAATATTGCTGATCAAAAACTGTTTTCCATAGCTTAGTATT